GTCTTGTCTCGGTCTTGATGGTTCTTGGTCTTGGACATGTTTCGGACTCGAGGTCTGAGAGGACAGAGGCTGCAGAGGCTGTTAAATATCACTGCAAAACTCTAAGATAATGTAACTGTAAATATTATGAACTTGATTCAATTTGAAGTTGTCTTGTGCAAAGTGCCAGTGGAAGTGGGATAAAGAAGAGGTTCTAAAACTGTGAGTGAGACTCCAAAAAAGGGATACAGAATGTTTCAGTGCAACGCAGTATGCTTGGCCTATTTTAAACCTAAATAAACATTGAAACACTGACCAGATCAAATAGAGATAGATAAAAAAAAAAACAAAAAAACATTGATACTCAGTATATATGTGCCAAAATAACTGTAAAATACAAATAAATGAAAGGAATGACAAAGATGGTCTCGATTGGGTCTCGATTGGGTCTTGATTGGTCTCGATTGGGTCTTGATTGGGTCTTGATTGGGTCTTGATTGGGTCTCTATGGTCCATGGTCTTTGTCTTGTCTCAGTCTCGACCTTTAAAAGTCTTGGTCTTGTCCTGGTCTCGGATTGGTCTTGGTCTCAATTAGTGCGGTCTTGACTACGGCACTAATATCTACACTGTGGACTCCAAACAAACCAAATGGTCATCAGTAAAATAACGAAATTCAGCAATATTTGCAAACAATAAAACGGGTCCAAAACAAAAAAGCTATTAAAACATATAATATCTGTAAGAAATACTTATAACAATATCACTCTCCCCTACATTTTGATACAATTCTTTATTCGATTAAGTACACTTAGTTTATGGTATCATCTTGGTTGTTGATTTGTTTTGTTTTCTTTCTTCTGCTCTCCTGTATAATCAACTGCACACCACCGATGTACTGGATATGTTGTCTATGTGATTGTATGTATATGAAAAAATAAAAATAAAAAATGCAGGTCTGTAGAGCAGTAGCGCCTCCTAAAGCTAAGACAGAGGGAACTGCAAGTACTTGGCAACAGTCGACAATCGGACTGAGGGAGTGTGACGTCACCCATAGCGGTCAGTTCCAGTCAAATGAAGCTCATGGAAGTGATTTTGGAGTAGAGTTCTATGTTAGGAATTCATGTATAGATAAAATAGTAAAATAAAAAAAAACAGGATCATGTAAAGCGGGTCAATATGAATATTTGAAGACTAAAATGAGGAGCCTGATCGCAGCAGGTACAGACAAAAAGGTGACACAGTTGTTATGTAAAGTCAGTTGAACACAGAGTCGATGGAGCTGGAATGCTTCTGGCTACTTTGACTCTGGCTCACTTCCTACTTGGAACTCAGTGGCTCGCGGGTTAGCTTTGTCCTTTTATACATACAGTCTATGATAAGGATAGATAGACAGGTGGACAGATAAATGTCCAAACATAGAGTGTGAGTAAAAGCGCTGGTTAATCCCGCCTCTAAACCCGCGCAGGAATAGCAGTGAGTACGGCCCGAAGATTAGGCCTCTGGATTAACAGTCCATTAACTCTCTGTTGGTACATCTGCGCTCCAGAGCATGCCACCTCCTGCTCTAGCTCCAACTTCTGCTCTAGCTCCTGCTCCAGCTCCTGTTCCTGCACCAAGTCCTGCTCCATGTCCTCCTCCAACTCCTGCTCCAGCTCCTGCTTCAACTAATGTTCCAGTTCCAACTCCTACTCCAGCCTATGCTTTAGCTCCTGCTCCAACCCTTCTTGCTCCAACTCCTGCTCCTGCTCCAAACTCCAGCTCCTGTTCCTGCTCCATGTCCTTCTCCAACTCCTGCTCCAGCTTCTGCACCAACTCCTACTCCAGCTCCTACTCCTGTTCCAACCCGTGCTCCAACTCCAACTCCTGCTTCAAATTCTCAACTCCTGCTTCAAATTCTCAACTCCTGCTCCAACTCCTGGTCGTACGCCAACTCCTGCTTCAGCTCCTGCTTCAACTAATGTTCTAGTTCCAACTCCTGCTGCAGCCTATGCTTTAGCTCCTGCTCCAACCCCTGTTTCCTGTCTAGTACATGACTACAATAATTGCCCATTGTTATTAAAGAAGCTGTAGTTCTCACAGAAATATATTATTTCAGTGTAAAAATTACCCCAGTTGATTTAATATATTTTACGACTCACAGCATGCTATTTGTTGTTAGCTTTACCAAGTTGAGAAAAGAGCTTATAAACTCATCGTGGGGAATAATTCGGATGCTCTGAATGCAGAAGGTAATTGAGGAAGAACTTTGGACCACTGCAAACTAAAATAATGAGCAAAAATAATGTACAAGGCAAAAAGGAAAGAACACCTCCATGAAGTTGGCCCCCATCAAATGCACCTACATAGTTTTTGAACTATGTCCATTTTTGTGCTCCGTTTGTTTTTGCTGCTTTAGTTTTTGAGATATTAATGAATCTTGTATAGGTCAAATTGGGATCAGCCAGCCCCAGGAAGTGTCAAAATGCTCAAAAACAACACAATGCATGGTGCTATTTGTTTGTGCTTCTTTTGTGCTGCAATAAGTTTTGTTTGTATGATTCTGGTTCTTAAGATATTAACAGTTTAATTTTGGGCTGATGACGTCATCCAGACCCTTAAAATGTTAAATAGCCTCAAAACAGTTTGTAGTTTGTTTTGTGCTGTGAAAATTTTCATTTGTGCGAGTATATTTCTAAAATTATTCATTATTATTTTTGCGGAAATTACATGAGGTCATTTCCGCTCAGCTGACGGCAACAGCTTTAACAAAACTCCACAAAACTAGTGAAGAGAAACGATCTGAGACTGTGGAAAAGTCTGGATCAGTCTTTTGTTTTGTTAAAGCCACTGCCGTCAGCTGAGTACAATTTACCTTATATAATCTCCACAAAAATAATAATTCATAATTTTAGAAATATAATTGCACAACTGAAAACTGTCACAGCACAAAACAGCACAAACGAAATACAAATGTTTCGGAAAATGTTCTGTCTGTTTTGAGGCTATTTTGAGGGGCTGGATGACACTGACCCAAAATAAAACATTAACATCTTAAGAACCATAATCGCACAAACCAAACTTTTTGCAGCACAAAACAGCACAAACGAAGCACAAACGACGGACATAGTTTTTGTGTAGGTTTGCGTTTGATCATGAACATCACCAGGTGGAAAGAACTACCAAAAAATATTCAGAAACATTTTATTAATAGAGAAAGTACTGATTAATTATTTGAGGGGAATGCATCTCTTTAAAATGACCAGAGTCCATACACAAATGCTTTTGTATTTCAGTTTGTGTGAGGTAAAAATCTGGAATTCTATGAATGATGAGCTCAAAAAATTATCCAAATATGAAAATGTTTAAACAAAGACATAAATAAATGATTATAGCTAAGTATGTATAAGAAAGAATTAAAGTTAAACGTACACTAACACATTTTGAAATGCAGTTATTTATTTTGTATCTAGAGTAATGTTGGCAGAAGCACTTTATTGTTTTGTGGCATTGTTTTTTTAAAAGGGGGTGGGAGCAAATAAGTGTTTGTATCTATTCTGTATGTATTCTATTATTCTTATTGTTCTAACTAGTTGTGTTTCAGGTTTATGTTTGTTAGACATGTACAAATCTGGTACCACAATGTTCACCCTCCACAAATGTTTTACACACATGTAGTTGACCATATGCATGTTTAATCCCCTATAGATTATTATTATTATTATTCTATCCTCTTTGGTTGCTCCATCTTTGAGGATCATACTCACAAATCCATAAGCTACAGGAAGTCATATTTAAAGGGCACATATTGCACTATATTCTAATGTTATGTTGTTGTTTCCTCATCACAAACAGACCTGGAGTTGTGTTTTGTTTCATTCATTCTTTCATTTGGCAATTCCAGGGCTGAAAGGATCCAAATAATTCTAGTTTGGAGTTTAAAAACACAGTGGAGCACTTCCTGTACTGCCACATGACATCACATGACAAAATGGAACAGATTTTTTTTTTTTTTTCATTTTGAGAGAAGAACTCAGTACAGTCCCAGTGTTGAGTCCTGTGTCCTCTGTCCCAGCAGATTTATCCAAAACCAGTGATCTGTCCTGGTAAAATGTCGGTAGTAGTATTTTATATATATATAAAATAATAAAAAATGTGTTTCTCACCTTCCACAGTGGTTGGTCTCTCTTTCTCATTCAGCTCAGGTCGTCTACCAGAGGCCTGGGAGCCTGAGAGTTCTGCACAGTATCTTTGCTGCTCTCAGTACTGCACTTTTCTGGACTGTGATGTCCGTTGTTTTTCCCGGTATCTGTTGTAGCTTCTTCCAGTTTGGGGGTTACAGCCCCGAGTGTCCGATCACCACAGGCACCACTGATGTCTTTACTTTCCAGGCTCTCTCCAGCTCTTCCTTGAGCCCCTGGTATTTCTCTAGTTTCTCGTGTTCCTTTTTCCTGATATTACCATCGCTTGGTATTGCGATGTCAACCACCACGGCTCTGCTCTGTTTCTTATCCACCACTATGTCTGGTTGGTTCATCACCATCCTGTCAGTCTGTATCTGAAGTCCCACAGGATCTTGGCTCGGTCGTTCTCCACAACCTTTGGAGGTGTTTCCCACCTTGATCCTGGGGTCTCCAGCCCGTACTCTGCACAGATGTTTCTGTACACTCTGCCCACCACTTGGTTATGTCACTCCATGTATATATATATATATATATATATATATATATATATATATATATATATATATATATATATATATCATTTATTTAATATAATTAATTGGATTGTTTGCATCATTGTGTATTTTTGTATATTTTCTGTGTGCTATTTTTATGCTTTTTGTATTTTTCTTTTCTGCTTGTACAGCACTTTGTTGTTTTAAAAAGTGCTTTATAAATAAAGATTTATTATTATTATATTATTGTTATGTGCACCTTTAGCAATTTTAATGGTAATTCAAATAAAGAAACAAACAAATAAAAATAAAAAACATAAGCCACGCATGCACCTAGTTTTGTCCTGTCGTGCGCGCCGTAGCTCGGTATAAAACCTCAGTGCGCAGGTCCGTTCGTTCTTCTCCCACCTTAAGCCGAAGCGTCACAGTGTGTCCTGTCCCCGGAGAACCATCGCAGAGGTACAAAACCCACTAATCCTACTCTTTTTATCAACTACATTCTTAGATCTGACCCCATATCATCCAACAGTTTCACTTAAACTCCATTTGTGCTCTTATTGTGATGCTTGCTCTGTATTTTGTTGCTACTTCTCCATTCCCGTCAATAAAAGTGAATGGCTCGAATGCGTAAAAATGGTTCCAACTTTTAAAACGTCGTGTGAAATCTCGTATTGTGGGTTCGTCTTCCTTATCTACGCGTTTCTGGATCTCTGCTAGTGGACTTGAGAACAACGTGAACAAAAGACCATGTGCTTTTGTAGGCCGTAACGCGCCCGGGGCTCGTCCAAACTCGGCTAAAAGTGTCTTTGCGCACCGGTTAAAAGGACTGTGCGTTTGGAGACGGGTGTGGCGTGGAAATAGCCGTATATTTGGGTGTTTCTAGGTCGCTGATTGTTCGTTGAGTGGTGTGATTCGGGCTGAGAGCTGTCAAGGGCTTGTCACATACAGCAGCCGGCTTTGCTAGCGTCACCAGGAAGGCAAAGTGCATCGAGGCGCAGAGCTGGAGCAGTGCCACCCTGTTTTGCGGTAGTGGGCGCTTTAAAGCTGACTGCGTGTAAATTCTATGAGGAAGACACATGGTTCTTTTCTGTATAGCGAGTTCAACCAAAATGTGACGTGCCAATTGCAAAAAACAGTGCTTTAAAATGTCTTTGAGCTCAAAATAGGTATAGACACGTTCCGGTGCAGTTCATAATTAGTGCCAAAGACTGGGTTGGTAATGCCTTCTACAGGGTTATTAACTTGCATAATATTTCCTTTAATTATGAGTTAATCATTCATAACATTGTAACCCAAATCGACAAATTATTGGCTGTTTACAAGCTCACCAAAATATCTGATTTCTAGACCTTCGCAGTTAATGGAGATGTGAGTCATCAGAGGGGCCGTGATCTGAAAGAAATCAGTTTTTGCCGTTTACATTTCGATACATCTGATCTGAGAGTGCGTGTAACCACAGCTATTCAAATGGTTACTTGGAGAAAAGTTTGAGCACCTCTCGTTAATGTGACTTTTGGATGAATGAAATGCCTTAGACCTCCTCTTACTTTGTGCTTACGTTTTTAAGATTGATTCTCAGATCACTATAACATGTCCAGGAACTGAATAAATACTGAAATACATTATTATCCTGAAGGAAATAATGTCCTGAATACTACCAGAAAACAAACAAAAAAATAATATAATACATCAATTCATATCATCGATGCAGCACGAACCTCGGACTTCTGGTCATTCAGCAATGTATGCTGGGAAGGATTTTCTGAAAGTGAGGATCAAACTGCCATGTTTTTGTGGGGTTTTTTTTGTTTTTTGTTTTCTCTGGGATGTGTATTGACAAAGCCGATCTTTTCTAGTCTTTTGAACCATATCACTTTTGTTTCTGGTTCTGACATTGTCATATTTTAGTTTTGGGATTCAGACATCGAAATTGTGTGGTTGTTGGATCCTAACAGCGGAAAACTGCTGGAAATTTGTTTGTGAACTTCATAAATTCAAAAGGGAATCAGATGTGTGTGACTGCAAACCTCTGTTCAGAAGGTTTCCCTTCCCAACGGAATTGAAAAATGGTGAAAGGTGAAAGTGATGGGATGATTTCTTAGGCAGCCGAAGGTTTCCTTTTTCGTCTTTCCTGTGTAACGATACTGCTCATCGCCTTCACCGTTCCCTTCCCAATGGAACTGAAAAATAGTGAAAGTTTGAACAGAGGTTTGCAGTCACACAGGTCTGATTCCCTTTTGCAGTTATGGAGTTCACAAATTTCTCGCAGTTTTCCGCTGTTAAGATCCAACAACCACACAATTACGATGTCCGAATCCCCAGACTAAACTAGGACAACATCAGAAACAGAAACAAAAGTGATATGGTTCAAAAGATTTGAAAAGACTGACTTTGACAATAGATGCATCCCACTAGGGAAATTCACATGGCGGTTTGTTGCTCACTTTCAGAAAATTTCGCAGTGCATACTGGGAGCAGTGACGAAGTCCAAAATTCGTGATGCATCTGGTACAACTAACTTCCACAGTGTCCATGGTGCAGGACCGGGACAACAGCCTGTCCCTAGTGGTGCTCTCCTGTCCTGTGAAGGTGCTTGGGGTTCTCCAGGATGGACAGTTTGTTTAGGGCCATTTTCTCACTCTCAGATGGGTGAAAAAAAATCTCTGCACTCACTACAGATCTGCCTTCCTCACCAGTTTATCCAACCGCACACCATATTTTGTGCAATGTAACACTAAACACTACATAATCTCACAATATGCAGCTACTTTATTTTGAAGCCTCACTGTAAGATTCTGAACAGAAAATGACTCAACACTTTAGATGCTGTCATTGCTCTGAAACCTGGCGACTGTTTAGTCTGAAGTAAGCCTCTTGTTTGTCTCCATGTAGTGTTCTTTAATGTTCCATAGTATGGCTTTAAATGCATCGTTCTTCAGAGAATGTGCTGAAGTACAGTTCTGCCTTCTGTTAAAATCATACAATTGACTTGTACAATGTTGGTTTAATGAGCAACTTTCTAGATGTGTTTTTTTAACAAATGTATATTGCCTTTTTACAGCTGTGATATTTTTATTATGATATCAAGTTGTTATACGGCCCATTAAAACCAGTGTGGTAATCTGAGCTTTAATGTTGCTGAACCAGCTTCAGCTTTTGTTTCCTTTTTTGTTGGATTTATTTTGACTTGGAATTTTTGGTTTCATATTTGGCTTTACTCCATGGACAGTCAAAGTCTAAATGTCAAGCTTGGTAGCATTTAAGATCATTTATAATCCTTTTCATAGCCCTTGTTTGTGGGTAGTCTGCACACCTGACTGGATGTGCATAGAAAAGGAACTTGACTGACACTTCAGACTCTCCTCACACTGTCTACTTTGTGATCAGATGTGTGGAGACACATAGACTGCAAAAGCTTTGTGATCATGGTCCCACAGATTTCTGTACCTTTTGAGATTTAAATGAGTTACTTGTCAGATTCCAGGTATGTGTAACTGCAGCCGCTCTGACTCTTGAGTTATTTTTATTGACACAGCGTTGGAGTCCCTCTGACCTTCCGGAGGTCTACATTATACATATGCACTGAAGCTTTCATGTCGCTGTGCTAAAGTTTAGTTTTCCTTTATGTCTCAGACTAACCCTCACTTCAACATGACATTTGGAATTAAAGTGCATTTGACAGAATTTAGAAAAGTATATGAACCTAATGTTTGGGATGGTACCTGTGGTAAAGAAGTCGTACTTCTAAATTCCTCTAAAAATTACCACTGACTGATGTAAGAGACAGTTGGAAAATGCAGGAAGTAACAGTGAATTTGAAATCCCTCTGCCTTCAACTTCATCCAAATGCAGAGACAATTTACACGCAAGGCTTTTTTCTGACCATTGCTTAGATTTTAACAAAATAAAGGTGTTGACTATTGTAATTTAGACAAGTTTTGGCCCTTGAAATTATGATTGCTTGGTAACATTCCTGTCATCTTGTCAGTTTTCAACCAGAAGGTAAAATAATAACATCTTTTAGCCCAATCTTGAATGTAATGTTTGCCATGTTTTCGAGAAATGAGTAGTCTAATGTGTCATATGCACTTTAGTTTATCAGGTCATACGATTTAAAAACTATAAACCCAAAATGATTGTGTGTATTGCGTTTGGCTGGAGTTCTCTGTGGATTAAGTGGTGTTAGTGGGGAGGGTAAATGGGACTCAGTGGGCGGGCAGGGAGGCGGGGTTTACCACCTCCTCCTTCTCGTATGGAGCAGGGAGGCGTGTCAGGCCGGCCACTCTATGCCCGCTGCCCTCCCTGCGCAATGGGGTCGGCTCCCTCGGCGGCCGGCCCCACTCCCGCCAATGTCAAGTGAGTGGTGCGCACCAGCCTAGACGACCCGCCCCGCTTCTCCTGCTTTAATTGTACTTCATTGTTTTGCTTCTAGAATCATCATGGCCGATCATGAGGAGCGCACATTCATCGCAGTCAAGCCCGACGGTGTGCAGAGGGGTCTCATCGGGGAAATCATCAAGAGGTTCGAGCAGAAGGGATTCAAGTTGGTCGGCTTGAAAATGCTCCAGGTGAGGATCTTCCATCAAGTAGTGCAATCTTGTTTTAATGAGTTTTTAATTTGTGTCCAGGAAAACTGACAAACTAAAGCAAGAATCACATTTCACATTTGTACAGCTCAGTTTTTGTGCAGAATAAGAGATTCAATTTTGTGGCTGAAATTGTATCAGAAAAATTTAACTAACCGCTCAAATTTTGAAATAAGTGAGCAGCCCTTTTCTAAATTTCAGTCACTGCCATCTGTAGAATTAACCACATTTCTAGACCAGTTTGAAATTGAGTTGCTACACCTCTTCCCAATGCTGAAATTTCAATTAAGGATAATGTTTTAATTTTTCATTTGCTAGGAAATGAATGCTGTAGTTTTGACCAGCTCACTGACAACTTTTCTGTGAAATGGAAAACTTTCAGTACAGACCAGCTTTTTGCTTGGTGTTTTTTAAAAAAACAAAACACACAAAAAATGCATGCGAGTATGGAAATTATTCAAACAAGCCACATTTGCATAATTTTGATACTGGCATGCAAGATTTGTTTGAAGTTGGAGCTACAAATTAAAACCTGACAGCCTTTTGCGATTTCCGTTCATTCAAACTGAAACTTGATTATAAAATTACATCCATGAAAATCAATCTCCTGGTTTATTCTGCATAAAAACTGCTAAACCCTGTAGTTTACATTTGAGAACATGTTTGTATTAAAAGGCAATTGGACACTTTTCCCCAAGTTGAAGTTACACACCACCTGAAAATGACTTCTTTTGAGTTCTGCTGTACTTATTAAACACGGCATAGTATAGACTATTTCTGGCACGTTATGCTCCTTTTCACGAGAGAGTGTTAAGAACCTCCGGTGAGCTCCTTATCTGCTCTATTCCTGTAGCAGCGGGACCCTTTTAGCCCAGGAAGCAGAACTTGGAGGTCAGACTCTCAAAGCTCACTGGGCCTGTCAGAAAAGACAAATGATCAGTTGCTTCTATCAGATAAATACTAGTTTTTAATACTATTTTTAGTAGAAATTAAGTGTTCAAATGAGTCAAGTCCCATTCACAGCACAGAAATGAACCTATACTTGTTCTGATATAGTTTAAGATAATTCTAAAGGTTTTCAGGAAAAGAGTAGAGTCTCTGTAGTGGATGTATCATCTATCTGGACTATGAGGGATTAGACATAAGGCCACATGGTATTTACTTCTATTCTGTACACCTGAAATGTGAAACTAGTACAACAATACCATTTCAGAGCACATTTGTACAGATCTAAACAGCAGGGTTGACTTTTTTTAAATGCATATTAAGATGAGAAAATGGTGGTTACTTCAAAAAAATGAGTCTTTGCCAGTTGTGTCCCGATCTATTAGAAATTAGTCTATAAAAATGCATTTCACAGCCCTAGTGTCTGCACTCAGAGGTGACCCAGTTTAATAATGGTTTGGTAAATCAATATTCCAGTGGATTGTCTTGACTGGAACAATGTTATGTCCAAATATGCTGCAAAAAATGAAGTATATCCAAGTGTATACAGTCTTAACCTTTCCACTATAGGGTACACTAGGGCTGGGCGATATGGATCAAAAAATACATCTCGATATATTTATCTATATCTCGATATACGATATATATCTCAATATATGTTCAAGAAAAAATAACCCCCTAAAACTTAAACCTGCAAAAACAAATCTGCCAATTCCACAAGGTCTTTTTTTTTTTTTTTAATGATAGTGTAAGAGGTCGGCAGTTCATATAGGAACATTTAAGATGACAAAAAACCCTAATTACATAAATAATAATTTAACTGTAAAATAAAAGAAATAATTTCCTTTTCATTCATAAATAAAACAACTCAAGACAAGCTCATCTTTGCATTAACTCTGTTATCCAGACCAGAACCATGAGCTCCTTCAGCAGAAGAAACTCAAGATGTTCCTTATTTTAACAGATCCATGTTCCAGCAGTAAGGAGCTCTGAGGTTTAATCCCACAATCCACTGCAGATCAAACCCAACGTTTCCAAACACTATTGTACAAGTGACACTGCAGCAGATTATTCATTAAAATCTTCAGCATAAATAAACTTTACATTACTAAACTTTACAATATATGAAGCATAACGACTATAGAGTCACATCAGCCTGTTTGAGATAATAATGTGTTTAATGCAGTTTTGCGCACGTGTGTTTAGATTTTACAGAAATGAAACTTAAGCGCATGGCTCATTTGCATAAACAGCACTTCTCATGCAGCTCAGCTCGTTCAGCTTCTTTCGGGCTAAAGGACGTGACTGGGTGGAATATGAGGATGTGCTGCTGATGGTTTTGTCTGTCTGTAAATGGTGGAAAAGGTTCGTGGTGCTTGAAGCTTTTCACTGGCACCAACTTTCGGCGTTCAGGGCGATAGTGACGAGTGAAGGAGACACGAGCGAACAAAATCAGGGAGGCAGGGGCGACGAGAGAGAAGGTAAACAAGCGAAGAGGCGAATTCTAAATTGAATATAAGCATTATATCGATATATATGATATGTCAGAATTCATATCGAGTTTAAAAACTCTCGATATATTTAAAATATCGATATATCGCCCACCCCTAGGGTACACTACAGACTAATGCTAGAAAGACTTGCGTTTTCATTAACCTTTTTATTCCAGATTTCACTATTTTAGTTTAGAGGAGAGTTTGTTTTTAAATGAGGGATGCCCTCAGTCTTCCAATGTTTAACTGTAAAGTGCTGGTCTTGAAGAGTAGGGCTGCATAATGGCTTCCAGCTGGGAAAAGCTGTACTAAGACAGACACGCCCTCTGTACATGATGCACAGAGCGCCGCAGTGCTTTTCATGGATTCGGTGTATACACTTAGAGCAGTGGATCTAAATGTTTTAGTGCAGTCCTGCTGACACTGGCCCATTGAAACAAAGGCTAATTACTTAACTGTAAATAATGGTTTTAAAAGGGGGGTTTCAAGTTTATTTAAATTTTTCCCCAAACTGATCAAATTAAAACAATTCCAGTCTTCCCTCAAACGTTGATGCACATTGTGAACTGAATCCAGATCTGAAAACAAATGTAAATGTGTGCAAATGACACTAGAGCAGTAGAGACTAGTTGGAAAAGGTAGCGGTGGTGGTTGAGTGTTTAGCTCACATGGATTAGTGCTGCTGGGGCGGATGAGTTCACAGAGGTGATAGTATTGGGAGGAAGGTGAACTGGCACAGGCTCTGGATCTTGGGGTGTTAAGGGAAGTGTTGGGGCTGCCAGCTCAATGCGATTAGTCAGAAGATCTAAGTGCTTGTGGCAGCTTCTTGTTTTTATAGTTCTGACTTGGTTTGATGGGATAGTACCTGTGCTCAGTATTTGAGTCAAGTGGCAGTTTGTGAAAAGTACAGAAAGTGGCTCTTTTCACAAACTGAATACCTCTACAAAATGTTATCAACTCCAAAAATCTGTCCAAAATGCAACACTATTTACAAGCAAGGAACTTATTTTTTCAGCTTAAACCACTTAACTAAAAGGGTCTTGGTTCTTTCTTGGTCTAATCATAACTATTCTGCAGTTTAGGAACTTTTGACCATTAATATTATGGGATAACCTCTATGCAAGTCACAACTTTTACCTGCCAATGTCTAACCAGGAACTAAATTCTAAACTTCTAAAGTACTTAAGATTTTCATTTTGGCCATTCATTTTCCAAAGTCAAATTTGTTCCAACTCTGGACTCAAAACAACATGCTTTTACTGACCTAGATGTCTCCATCACAAGACTTATTTAGAACTGTTGCTATAATAAACATTACCATTTTGATAAAGCGGTTACATTTTTCTGAGCTTCCAAGTTTGTAGTAATCAACATAAAATGGCTGGTCAATTTAAATATTCAGTACACAGTATTTTATTTTAGTCTTTGTTACTGCTACACATTTAAACAGTTTAAAGTCAAACAAAACTGATAAAACAGAATGGATGAAATTCCTCAAAAGGTTTGCTTGGAAACTATTTATATAGAGATAAAATAAAGCCATTTAACTCTTAGTCCTCAGAGTTATTTTACTAAAGTTAAAAAGACAGGATCACACAACTCATGCAGTGGTAAAAGTGGGTCTTAAGACGAGACTTGACTCCATTATGGGGCTGCTGGGACGTAGCAGAGAAAACCAGAGGGGACAGTCTTCTGTGACTGGCCCTAAACTCAGGTCGCAAGTCCAGCTCCAGCTTGTGTGGCCCAAGATGAGACTTAAAACCAGGGTGCTCGCAGGGCAGTAGGGGCCAGTCCATTTAAAGCTTTCAAAACGATAAAATCTTGATTCTAAAACTGGATGCTAAAATCAGGGTAATGTGCTCTCCTTTTTTGCTTCGTCTGTTTTATCGCCAAATCAAAATGCAATGTGGATACTGTACCTGTGAATGATTCTTCCAATTGAAATTTCTCTCCATGACACTGTATAAAACTTGTAGACACAGGCTGCATGAGCTCAAATTGTATAGAATATTTCTTTTAAAATGACTTTTGCACTGTAACATGTGTCCATCCTTGTAGCACACTATAGGATAAGGATACTCATTTGACAATTACAGAGCTGCAAAATTGGCAAATTGTAGAGGAAATTATGCTCACAAACTACTAAATCTGTCTGATTCTGTAGAGATCTGTACACATGTTCTGAAATGTGATTCTTTGACGTCACAACTTAAGCCACAAATCATACAATTTTAATGTTTGTCATGAAAATCATATTTCTTTCCCAAATGCTTGAGCCCTTATTGACCAGTGTCCACTTTTGTCCAGGCGTCCCAGGAGCTGCTGCACAAGCACTACGCAGACCTGTCCTCCAGGGGCTTCTTCCCCTCCCTCATCGCTTACATGAGCTCCGGACCAGTGGTTGCTATGGTGAGAAACTGCACACACGCTCCAGATTGTCTTCTCGGGGCTGGGAGCCACAGGGTATTTGGGGAATAATGTAGTAATCTAAAGTGAAGATGGCAGAGCAACTATAAGCAACTGAGCTATTAGAGGTGTAGTACTGTTACGACCAAGTGTTTAAACTTTTTTTTAAAGCTACATACTTTTATTGAAGTTGGAGTACTGTCACAACTAAAATTATTACACAAATAGGAGTAAAAGTTGTGGTTGCTCTTTCCACTGAGTCTACAATTGACAAATGTTCAAATCATTTCATATCAACATTAAGCTTTTGTTTCCTTCACTGCTCCTTCAGATCTGATTTTAGCCTAGTTTATAACAGACCAAATGCCAGATTTTGACTCAAACCTGACTCAAAGCAACTTAAAAGCTCAAATTGAACCTGCTAATGAGTTATAAGGTCTTTAAAATGGAAGTTATTTCACCCCACTTACATTGACATCCAGGTAGGCTCTATTCACGCTTGCGTCACAAACGGGGCTCTGTTCATGGTAGTAATTCTGACAAAATCTAGGAAGATGAAGAAAACTGGGACATTTTCTCATTTTAAGTGTCATTGTAGTGTTCGGCTAATCAACAATTGTAACAATACCAGTTTTCATTTACGCACTGGGTACGTGACATGTGATCAAGGTGATTCCAAACAGCACATACGTCTGCAGTCTTCATTTTACCACTGATCATTTACTTCAGTGGGTTTAATCAGTCGGTTGAGCCCAGTGTCAGGAACAACGCAGAAGTTGTCTTTGCATGTTTCCAAACGTCTTTCTGGTTTGTGACGTAACGTGAATGGAGCCTATTATGAGTTCATAACTCAGACTATGACAAAGGGCTGGGCAATGTGGTTGAAAAATAAACTGTTTTTTGCACTGAATTTTTTTTTTTTTTTTAAAACGACACAAAACTGAAGCTTTCTGATAAATTATCAAATTGTAAACCACCTTAAATGACATTGGTATAGAGACCTCTTGTAATTGAGCACTAACCTTCTTTGCAAGCAAGACACCAGTAATCATTATCCTTCATTTCTCAAAATGATGAAGCTGATGAATGGACTTTCTTGCCAGTTTATTTGAATTTGTGTTTGAATTGTGCTCTACAGAATAAGAAATACATTAATCACAATACGAATGAATCAAAACATAAATAACCATCATAAAATTAAAGGGACATTAAATGAGAAGCGTGCGAAATGAAAACCTTTCAGTCATATGCACAGCTGAACAGAACTATTTTGAGCCTGGATTTAGGCCATATTTCCTGATTATCTGACATTTATTCAATTGAACATGGACAGCACAGACTTGATTTGACCTGCTTACACAATATAATCATGGGGCAAGCTAAATATTGATATAACACATGAAAAAACGGGTACAGGGCCTTTTTAAATAACTGTTGTGTTTAAAGAATTTCCACATTTGTAAGTGTGACCTGTAGAATCAATGAATGTGGCATTACTGGTAAACCAGTAATAAGACTGAAAAAATTAAAGAAATTTGAGTATTTCACTGTTTGACCAGGGTGTAACGTGTCATTTGGCTCTGGGTAATTCTACACTGGAGTTGGTGACTTTTTTTTTTTTTTTATCCACTCACTAAACACGCATGTAGAGCAGCATTCTCATCTTTCAGCCAAATGAAATAAACTGTAGAAAAGAGCAGATCCATGCAGATGCTGCACCACTGAAGCCCTCATGACTCCTGACATGTTTCACTTCACAGGTGTGGGAAGGCAAGGGAGTGGTGGCGACCGGCCGCGTGATGCTGGGCGCCACAAACCCTGCCGACTCTGCCCCCGGGACCATCAGAGGGGACTACTGCATCCACGTCGGCAAGTGAGTAGCCCACTGACTCAATCAGAATTTACTCCATTTTACCATCCCCAAAGATTCTGAGGAAAGAGTTTGAACAGAATTACCTTTCCTATTTTGATATTACAGATTTAGATTTAGAGTGGGTTACTTTGACATGTAGAAAGTGCAAGATTGAGGAAAATAGAAAGTTTATACATTAGTGATGGGAAGATGACATTTCTAGAGGTGTAAACACATTCCCTGTGTTAACACTGTTCTATAGCGCCCTCTGGTGTTGTAAAGACACTGCTTCCTATGCACAAGTGTAACAAGACTGTGTAGAGATGTTTGAATGAACGAGCCCAAATGGTGATGAGCAAGAAGCTACACGGTCTTATGCAATTGTACAATACTTATTTACTTTATAGTAAGCTACATGTGATACAGTAATCTCTTCTGCAATAAATTAACTGTATTAAAGCAAAATTTACCCACAATGTGATAAGTAACCCAATTTGCAATTCATCTTTAAGAAGAATGGAATTAGTAACACTTTGTTGAAAATCAGCCAAAATGGTCCAAATCAAACACCTAAACAGGACCATGAATGATCATTGATCGCAGATTCCTGAAAATGTGACTGAAACTTAAGAGCTTAGTTTAAATACACTTTGACTTTTTGCTAATGTGTCTCCATGGAACCTGAACATTCCACTGTGTGGTGAGGTTTAAATGACAAAAGTGAAAAACTACATAGCACACTCAGATTTTGAAAATAAGTTTTTTTAATTTTCAGAATGTTTCTGCAAAAAAAAACTTCATCAGATCATTTTCTTGCTTTGGACCACAGCACACAAAATGGTTGCCAGTCCAGGTGCTCATATATCCCTCCAATGAACGGGGTTTAAGTGAACATTTCCATCAGTGACTAGACACAAGAACTCACTGTGGCAACAAAAATCTGCATTTTAACATTATTTTAGCTGTATTAAATAACACTGGTCTGTAGGTTCAACATTTGCAATGAAATATCCAAAAGGTAAATTCACAAGTAGTGTGATCAATAGGAAAATCTGGCCCTTGCCCCCCATCTGGGTGTATGACATCGCATTCTAAAATCTGAAAATGTGATGTAGTGACAAAGCATCAATAGTAAATGGATTTTAAGGCTACAACTTTAGTGGGGCATTTTCAGTAACTGCTTTGTCTTGCATACCATGTAAGACCATGTGACCTGTTGAAGCAGGCCAAACTCACCCCGTCCTCCTTTCAGGAACGTCATCCACGGCAGTGACTCAGTGGACAGCGCCAAGCAGGAGATCTCCCTGTGGTTCACACCAGAGGAGCTCGTCACCTACCAGAGCTGTGCCTTCAACTGGCTGTACGAATGAGCCCACGCCCGCCCGCAGTCTCCCAGGGACCACCGCACACTGGCCTCACGTTCCCTCATGTCCACTGTAGCCTAGGCAACGGTTCCTCCTCTTCTGTGCAGGCTCTGGACTCCTGCATGTCAGAGCCCGGGCTGATGGCACTTATTCCCTTTAGAAACATTCCATCTCATTCCACTCTAGTTCATCTCCGTTGTGTCATTTGTTAAGGGTGAAACTTTCCAATAAAATTCCACATTAAACTACTGTCTGGTTATTTTTTACAAGTTGCTCTTAATGCTCTATGGGACTTGATTATAGGACCTTTTGTTTCCCAAAGACTGGATCACGGCCCTCAGGTGGGTTGAAAGAGTTTTTTTGGGGGGGGTCACTTTGTCACGATCTTCATGTAGCTCTGCAATATACACTTCTGACACATGAGGGCGAGTGAGTCTGCAAATCCTGTCTGCCCTGAACGAGTCTTCCTGCAGCTGAAGTTAAATCCTGATTGGTTGTCTGAAAATAAGGGTGATAAATCGGCAAAGGTCAATGCACTTCAGGATACTTTTTTATTGCTGGTTTTTAATTACTGAACAATTAGTGTCTTATCGTTTCACACGTAATACTATGTCCTCATTAAAGTTCAATAATGGTTTAATCCACTTTTCATTGTCATTTATGAATGTCTATTGCCTTGGGTCATGAAGGTTTGTGACTGAATGTGGGTCACCAGAAAAAAAAAAAGGGAAACACTGCCATATAGAGACTGCACCACTCTCACACTCCATTCCCTCACAACAACCATACCATACACAGAGAACAGGTCTGACATTAAAGTCCTTTGCATGAACATGTTTTTTTTTTTTAAATGTCATTTTGCAGAAGTGTTGTGGTACTGTTGACCCTGACAAAACTGCCTCACTGTGTACTTAGACACTGCAAATTAGGCTCATAAATGCGATCGTAAACCTCTAAACACGTAACGCCATCGAGGGTGAAGGTGATGGGACGCTAAAAAGTTAAGGGCCTGCAAAAGTCTGAAGATGGCTTGCCAAAACATTATCTGCAACAGCCAGCCAAGAAATCAAAGCTTTTTTACTTTTTAAACATACCGTTTAAAGCCTTTTTTGTGGTATTTTTACTTTTTAATTGCATTTTTTAACAGGTACTTTAATTTTAAGTAGAATTTTCATGTGATACGTTTACGTTTTTGCTCCAGTATCTTCACTTTTACTTTGCAAAATTGAGTTCTTCTTCACCCACTGCTCTCTTATCAAGGTCATCAACTTCTGCTCTCAACTCATGGAATAAAAAACAGATTATTAGATCACCTGGAATAGTCCAATGTGCAGTGTAGATGTGTTTTTACTACTCCAAAATAACACATTGACTGAGCGAGCTTGTTTACCGCACAGACATGTTTAATGCCACCCTGCGGAACATTCCCTCTGAAGCAGTACGAGTGGAGACAATCCTGTACTGTAAAGAGACATGTCCCACCACCCTGTCCCTCTTCCCCAAAGCTCTGGGAGACGCTGGTCCTTGAGGATGGTGATTATTTGGAGAGGAGGTGTTGTTCTGCAGGATCACCAGTAGATGGCAGTAGAACCCCAGTGCTTCTGCCTCTGCCCTCAGCATCTCCGGGCTTTACTCTTGATGGGGCTTTTCTGTCCATGGTAGTACTAATATACAAGTGTTTATATTTGACAGTAGTACTCGTGGGTAAAAGTTGTGGTTGCTTTTCTCACTGGAAGTATTCACATTTTAGCTTTTAAAAAATGCTGATTTATTCTTAATTACACAAAAACATTAGACCAAGTTGTTATAATCTGTTGTTTTGGTTGGTTATCCAGTCAGAAAGCTGTAAAACAAAGACTCTCTTATTTGGGTTGCCAGTTTCAATGCTGAAATCCACTTGCTGTAAACCTAAAAGGACTTTCTCTGAATCCATCACTACTCACGATTCCTTAAACAAGATTTTGATGAGGCGTACAGAAGGATTTACTGATTTGTAATTCTAAGTCTTGTTTATTAAATGTATATCCAAAAATCCATCTGTACACTTTAGTGTCTAATACAGTATGTCAACAGAACAAACCATTTTACAGATACACATCGTCTTATATCTATAGAAGTAAACAATAGAACAAGCAGAACAAGCTTCTCTGTTTGTTTCCTGTTCACCAATAGTGTTTTCTCATCTTTTCAGGTGTATGGTCCATCACCCTCTTGTCTCCATGGAGATGTTATAGCTTTTTCCTGAAAGGTTCCATGGTACAGCATATCTCTGTGAACAGGGTTGCATCTCCACAGATCTGACCTGTAGTTCTCTCCACTGAGATAGACTTTAATCTATATTGTGGAACATTTTAGACAAAGCAACAACATCTCCATGAAGACAAACAGGTGGTGCACCCTCCACCAGAAAAGTTGCACGATGCACCTTTAAAGGACCTGCAGGTAGTTTTTTTTTTTTTTTTTTTCTTGTTGCAGAGGCACCAGGATCACGCAGCAGCACCATTAATGACGTTCCAGCAGGATTCCAAGCTTCAGGGTGACACACAGGCAAAAAACATTACAGTCTACAAGCATCTAACCAAAGTTTTTGGAAAGTCTGAGGGAGTCTGCCCAAAGCTTTTGTGTTGTTCAGTTATAAATGTTATGTTTTACATCTGGGATTTCTCAGAGTTTACATAAAACACAGTATCAAGCATCATTCATTACTGAACAGAACGTTTTACTGCAACTGTAGCAAGCAGTATTTATGAAAAGATTATTGTTCACACATGCAAAACACTTCTGTTTATGATCTGAAACTTATTTACACTTTTTTTTTTTTTCTCAACATGAATGTCACTTTTTCATGCTGATGAAATCTGATCAAATCATCCTGAATACACATATTTATCTTTTGTCACCTTATCATGAAAATGTGCCTTTTAAATGGTTTTATGTTTTATGTATAATTTAATTGTCTACACCACAGGTGTCAAACATAAGGCCCGGGGGCCAGATCCGGCCCTCCAAGACCTTTAATGTGGCCCTTGGGTGATTTCTACTAAAATATTTTAATTATATTTCTTATTAAAATCTTGTTAATTTTCTGTGGTGTTTATCACAGCAGCGTCTCCAGTGTCTCTGTACGTGGCCCCTCCCACCAGAGCAGCACAAATGAAGACTTGTCTCTTTCCAAACGCTCTTAAAGGACGATCGTTTTGACTGTTGACCGTGACACCCTCATCAGAAAAATGTCCAACATGAGAAAAGTGGAACCGAGTGCAGGATTTTACAACAAAAATGGACTTATTCCTGTTTGCAAACAAGTTATTGTTAAAACATTGTGTTGAAATTGTATTTTTCTTTAAGTTTCAGGTTGTTCATAATATTATAATATTATAATAAGAAAGAGTTCATCAATTAAAAAAGATTTCTGTAATAGATTTGTGTTTCTCTGCACAAATATTTGAAGTTATTGTTATTTTTGGGGTTTATATGACATGAGTTTTCTGATCCGGCCCCTTTGGGATCAAAGTAGGTTGGATACGGTCCCCGGACCATGATGAGCTTGACACCCCTGCTCTACACAATTATTTTAACATGCAACATCAAATGTCCTTAAAGAGTTTTAAAATAAAAGAATACAACAACCACTTTAGTCTTCCATAGTTCTGTATTGTCTTAACCATCACACTCTCCTCGAGGTCACACTGACCCAAAGAATTTTTTCCCCCGCTCTCTTGTGGTGGGTCAATCAGACCCAAAACTTTATTTTCTTGCCTGGCGAGATTGACCCGCCCCAAGAGAGTGGGAAAAAAAAATCTTTGGGTCAGTGTGACCCCGAGGAGAGTGTGAGGGTTTAACCAGAATCAAACACACGATCACAAATGAACCTGTGCAGATTTTTAAGCTGCAGGTAGAGACACATCCAAGTTTGTCTCATTCTCAGTTTATGGTCATGAGGAAGCTCAGCTCAACTCCCTCACTGAGCTGCAGAGGCTGCACTAACACTGACATATGATGCCGCAGGTGTTGCAGTTTAGGGAGTGACCGTTCAGTAAGAGCCTCTGATAGACTGTTTCTCAAATGCACTACAACTGCTTCACGTGTCCCTTTGTTACCACTCGTTTTGTTTAAGCCTGTGTGACCCGTTTTGTGGCACAAAACTCAGTTTATTCTGTTGTTCTGTTTCTTAGTTTAGGTTATTTTCTGTATATTTTAGTCTTTTGTTAATTTACCTTTTGCACCCCTGTTAAACATTATTTAATTTATTCCATTTTAGATTTTGGTTTTTATTTTTGTTACTTCCCTGTCCCTAGCAGAGCTGGGTCATAACAAGTCCTCAGAGCTCAAGTCCAGTATCTTACAACTGCGACATCAAAAAACAGACAGGGCATATTGGACATAGAAATAAAACAACAGATGACCTCCTGACATCTGCTCAGGCAATCACTTAAACCAGTGTCACACTTACACACTGATTTTTGCTGATTTTTGCCATTTTCGGCGATGTTAATTTGAAAACTATACTGCTTCATGACATCACAATGTGGAACAGAGCATTTTGAGCTTTAGAAATGTAGACAGACTAATAATAAAGGGTTACTCAAATATGTGTGAATGAAAACATAACTCCAGGTCTGTTTTGGAGGAAGTAAAAATATTCTAACATGGCTTAGAGCTCACAAGAGTCACTTTTGCGTAATAGATGAGAGTTTAAGTGTCATTATTGATTAGTGAACTTTTTTTTTTTTTTTTTTTTTAAGCTTTTGGGTTGAAATAGTTACAGAGTTTTATTGTATTTTAATAAAAAGTTAAAAGCTAAAAGAGGCATATGTGAACGTGTGAAAAAAGATGATTAATAAAGAGTTACACTTGAGACCTCTTCACAAAGTTTTAAGGAATTGAGAGGTGTCAAAAACTGTAAGAAAAAAGCTGTCATCACAATCTATAAAATCGGTGAGCTGGTCTGAGGGAGGGGGCAGGGGAAAGAGACACACAATGTGTGACAAGCAGGGTGTAGGCTTCCCCTCTGTCCCCCAGGGCAGTAAGTTAACTCCATAGCTTTATCAAGGTAGAAGGTCTTAAATTCTACAATACATGGTAATACTGTTGATGAAATAAAAGACCAGAGAGGCCTGCCTCTGTAGAAGACCCTTTCATGTCAGAGACATCCCCAAGTGTAGACTCTAGCAGAGTCTGTGTAAGTCCATGTGGTCAAAAGCTCCATTCATTCAACTCTGGGACCTGAGAGTGACCACACCAAGTGAAATCCAAGCAAGCACTTTTTAGTTCCATGATCTCATTTCACTTTGCTGCTGCAGTGAATGATTATTTTAATGTTTTAATGAGTCAGCGTTTCAGGTTCATGCAGCTAAAACCTGGAACAGTCTGAACATGTGAGACAGACTCTTCTGTGACGCTGTTTAAATCCAGACTCAAAACATTTCTGTTTAACTGTGCATATAACTGAAAGGTTTTCATTCCGCACTCTTCTCTCCAATTTATGTCTCTCTTTTTTAATTTTAATCTTCATGATTATTTATGTTTTGATTTGTTTTTATTATGATTTTAATGTATTTCTTATTCTGTAAAGCACTTTGAATTACTTGTGTACGAATTGTGCTATACAAATAAACTTGCCTTGCCTTGCCTTAATGTTTTATTATTTAGTCCTCGATTTGAAAAGTCAAAGTGTAATACTGATGAAAATCCAGTAACAAGACATGGATTTATTAATGCAGTTGTCTCTGTTATAAAAGCTCTTTTCATTGAGTCTGTATAATAATTATTCATATAATTAATATAATATAATAATAATGATGATGATGATTGGTAATTGTCCCTTTAGTCGGTGGATGTTTGCAGTTTCACTTCACATAGTGTTAGTCCCACATGAGGCTCCTGTTCAAGTCAGAGCTCCTCCTCTTGTCTGAACGCGGCCGCTCATTGGTGCGGCGCTGAAACGCACGCGCTCCCGCACATAAATACGCTGCGCTCTGTCTGTGTAGGTTCATTCTCTCACCACTTCACTGAGTCAAAGTGTAATCATGAGCGGAAGAGGCAAAACCGGAGGAAAGGCCCGCGCCAAGGCCAAGTCCCGCTCCTCCAGGGCCGGGCTGCAGTTCCCAGTGGGCCGTGTGCACAGGCTGCTCCGCAAAGGCAACTACGCGGAGCGCGTCGGCGCCGGAGCTCCCGTGTACCTGGCGGCCGTGCTCGAGTATCTGACCGCTGAGATCCTGGAGCTGGCGGGAAACGCGGCTCGTGACAACAAGAAAACCCGCATCATCCCCCGCCACCTGCAGCTGGCCGTCCGCAACGACGAGGAGCTCAACAAACTGCTGGGAGGAGTGACCATCGCTCAGGGAGGCGTGCTGCCCAACATCCAGGCTGTGCTGCTGCCCAAGAAGACCGAGAAGGCCAAGTAAAGACGCCCGAGACTCGACTCACAACAACGGCTCTTTTAAGAGCCACAAACTCTCAGAAAAGAGACTTCATACAGTCCCTGACAAAAGTCTTGTCACTTATCCATTTTGTAGAAACAAAAGCTTATAACCTGACTTTAAATGAATCGATTTGTTTTAGAAATGTCTCATATGAAGCTAAAACCCTCCCGAATCATGCTCAATATACTAAAATAAATTTGCTTCACTGAAGAAAGATTGATCATTTAATGAACACAGAAAGGTCAGATTTTGGCAAGACAAGTTTTGTCGCCTACAGAAAATTTAACCCATAATTTACTTCAAATACAAAAATGTTACATAACGTCAGTGAATGAAGTAGTGGTGCTGTGAGATCCATATTTAATATCTTGTATGACTCCATGAGCTTGAAGGACACATCCATGCGGTTCAACAATGATTCATACAATTTGTTGATGAAGTCATCAGGAATAGCAAAGAAAGCGTCTTACATGCCTCCCAGAGTTCATCAAGATTCTTTGGTTTTGTCTTCCATGCTTCCTCTTTCATTCTACCCCAGACATGCTCAATGATGTTCATGTCTGGTGACTGGGCTCCAGTCCTGCACCACCTTGATCTTCTTCGCCTTGAGAAACTTTGATGTAGAGATAGAAGTATGTGATGGAGCACCATCCTGCTGCAAAATCTGACCCCTTTTATGGTTGGGAATGTAAGAGGAGCTAATACTTCTTGATATTTTAGGTTATTGATATTTGCCTTCCACCCTGCAAATGTCTCACACACCCCCAGACTGGATGGAACCCCAGACCAGGATTTTTCCGCCACCAAACTTAACTGTTTTCTGGGTGAATCTTGGATCCATGCGGCTCCAGTAGGTCTCCTGCAATATTTGCGGCGGCTGTGATGTAATTCAACCGAGGATTCATCTGAGAAATCCACCTTCTGCCACTTTTCCAGTGTCCATCCTTTTATCAGGCTGTGGGCCTTGGCAAATGCCACACAGTTTTTTAATTGCCTTTTGTTCAGTGCTGGTTTCTGTGCACTGATTCGATCATGGAGGCCATTTCGAGACAGAATTCTACAAACTGTTCTGGTTGACACAGGGACTTGAGGTGACCAGGCCTGGTGGAGTCTGCTGCAGTGGAAAAGGGGCCTTGGATTTTCAAATCAACAAACGGTCCTCTCGAGCAGTTGTCTTGCGGCGTCTGCTGGACCTGGGCTTGTCAAAAACATCTCCAGTCATTTCAGATCTTTTTCTTATTCTTTGTACTTGACGCTGAGACACATTGAAGGTGTCACCACCTCAGCAGTGGATCTGGTCTTCAGCCTCTTGATAATTAAGGCTTTGGTCTCAGGGTGGATCTTAGGCATGTTGTCAGAGGTCAAGTTGCAGTTGATGTGAAGGTCTGGTGTGCTGGGTTCTTTTTATACACACCCACTAATTGATTGATCAGTAACTGATCACAGGTGAGGCTGTAATCTAGGATTGGGTGCATCATATGACAAGGCCACAAGACTTTTGTCTTGCCAAAATCTGACCTTTCTGTGTTCATTAAATGATCAATCTTTCTTCAGTGAAGCAAATTTATTTTAGTATATTGAGCATAATTTGGGAGGGTTTTAGCTTCATATGAGACATTTCTAAAACCAATCGATTAATTTTAAGTCAGGTTATAAGCTTTTGTTTCTACAAAATGGAGCGACAAGACTTTTGTCAGGGACTGTAATTAATGTTTCAGACCATAGCAAATAACCATATGGAAACGGATTCAAAACTATGTACACTTGTCTTACATTAAAGTAACACGAGTGTTTTCACTGCACGCATCGGCTTTTACGCACGTAACCTCGCGAAACCACAGCCGCATGTCAACGCGCAGGTGGCTCCACCGGCAGCTGCAGCAGGACGCACTGGCTCTGTTTGTCAATGGAACAACGATCACACTTGCCTGGGCACGTTTAGCCGCTTGTATCAGGCAAACATTTCACTTAACTTGTATTAACGTGTGTACAGGCTGACCACAGCAAACACGAGGACTCAAAAGTAAATTTCAAAGCACTAATTAAGTTTTTCTGAACCTGGGCTCTTTCAAACGATAAATGACCTGGGAGCACATTGTGCTGATGGTAAAAGCACAAATACAACAAACAGATGCTCTCTCTATATTTTGATGTTGATACTAGGCTCACGTAGAGCGTCAAAAAAATAGGATGGATCGCATTTTCTGAAATCTATGCGCATGACGTGCTGCTTGCGCGCCTAGCGTGGGCAGTCTGGCCGTTCTCATTCATTTTTAGACTATTTTAAAACTTGCGCGTCCAAAAGTTACAGCACTGAAAAAATTTGCGTAAAAAAGTTATGGAAAGCGGTTGCACGCAATAAAATTATGTTTAGGCTTTGAAACTTTTTTCGAACCCCTCTACACATATTTATCTCAGAACATGAACATCACTTTTTCATGTTGATGAAATTTGAATCAAATCATGCTGAATATGCATATTTATCTTATGGTACCTTCTCATGAAATGTATAAGTCTGTATAATTTAATTTAATTGATCTAATTCTGTAAAAGAAAACAAAAACAGTCTTTAGTTTTCCACAGTTCTGTATTGTCTTAAACAGAATCAAACACAAAGAGAACACAGGGACAGAGATACACAGTTTGGAGCTGGACAGTGTGAAGATTTATTCCAGTGAAGCTCTGGTCTCTGCCTGTGGACACAGAATAACACATGATGATCACATTCTGATGATCTACTCTGTTGTACATGTTTAAATACACTTATAGCAATTATTACTACAATAACGGACCAGAACAGAAGAACAAGAACATTAGAACTGTATCTGCAGAAACAAAACTCACCATGTGCTGCTTTTCTTCCTCTAAACACAGTAACAGGGAGGGCATCTGGTATAAAGTCTCCTAGTGCCACATCACCCTGTAGAAACACAATAACTGTTTCAATAGGAAGTTCATTTTGAAAAATTTTAAAATCATTTTAGTTGGTTTACTTACTTTGTTCATCTGTGCTCTGTGTTTTGTTGGTTCTCAAACATCTTCCTCTTTTCTGAAACATGAACTATAACATTCATGAACTTCCCCACAGCTCCAGCAGAGCTCTGGACGTCACTCTGTGTTTGTAGACGACTCTGGAACAAACACATTCACATCTGAGTACAACTGTCACACTCTTGTAGATGGACAGTTAAAGACAATTTGTTTCAACGAGTCCTTACATTAACTCTAATTTCAAATAAAACAACACAAACATGTTTTAACAATGACGTCATTCTAGGCCAGAGAAGCACATAATACAATCTTTTAAAAGTCTCACCTCCAGATCAGCTCTCATAATCCTCCTGCTCCACACTGTGTGTCCTCTGCTCCTGGAACTGTCCTGTGTCCTGTTACATTTGAATTTTCCCTCCGAAAAATTGGGGAGGAGAATTCCAGAGGGAGGAGCCTCACCAGACATGAGAATAAAGTCATGTTTCCTCAACCTGATTAAAACCTGCAGGTCTAACATCGGCCACAGTCAAGTGACCTTTGTAAGATTTAAACATGCTTGACAGAGAAACGTAAAAAAGTGATGTTATTGTTGTCAAATTTGTTTTTGCAATTTGAGCAACCCCTCTCGGACCGTTTTTTCAGTGAGCTTTTGAGGCTCGCGTAGGGCAAAACCCGCATGCAGTGTGGTCAGACCCAATACAAAACTCGGAGTTTTAAAAGTGCAGTGAACAGTCTTAGATCTCAGTGTGAATATTTATTTATTTATTTATTCAAACATAAATAAGTTCTTGAGCTCCAGAGATCCAGCAGAGATGAACAGAGTGACCCTGCCTTCATACTCTGGAGCAGTAGTGTTAATAACAGCAGAGGAATGAATGAAAGCTTTAGTGCCAAACACCCACTGTATTCATGTCAGTGGTGTCTGTGTTGGATAAAGAGACGTGGTGAACATCACAGCATCTCCCACAGTTGCATCTACAGAGCCTTGTGATAATATACCAGCTCCTGAACATAAACAGTGCACAATACTAACTTCACTTTACTATAGAACACTAACTAACATCATAGTGATTTACTGTTCTTATCTCCAAAAGACACTCCAATGAAAATGTGTCAGGTGTCATCAAGGCTAGAACTGAAGTGAAAGAACCCGTGAACAGGAAGAACAATGTTCTACTTTACAACAGTTTAGTGTCACTGTCCTTATCTGACACCCTTTTAATGATTATCTAAGTGTTCTGCTCTCAGCTCAGTTGAAGCATATCCTGGTGTATTTGTGACACTCTTCTCACATTGATATAAGAGTTTGTTTGTCACTGATGCCACAGCTCAAAAGTTGAACAGGCGTCCAGACAAACTTTTAATATTGTAGCCAGACAAACATTTGGGTGTAACACCAGTCGATGGAAAACCTCTTGTGGATGTGAGCTTTGGTCACATGTGTAGCTGCTGTTAAACACAGGCTCAGCTGATGTAAACTGGAATACACCACATGATTTGATGAACATTTGCTGTAGGCCTCCTGCTGACGGGTATGTTCTCCTGAAGGGTCCAGAGGTTAAAACTAATGTCCAAAAGCATGTTCTGGCTGAGCTACTGTTGGGATGAAGAGTGTTCAGTGCAGGAGTTTGCAGCACTGGCAGGTTTACTGGAGGTAATACGACAGAATGCTGTGCTAACCGGGGTTTCTTCCTCTTGTATGTAACACATAAAACAAAACAAAAACCTCTGAAAACATGAGTGAAGCACTAAAAGCTGCTGAAACTAAACCTGGGGACTGCACACAGCTATTAAATATTTTTTCAACTTACCACAAATAGCACAAAGAATAAAAACTTGGAGACTCATATCT